GTGCATCCGACGGGCTTTTCTTCTCTCATGACGATTGGCGAGCAGGTCCAGCCCCAGTCCTCTATCGAGGCATCAAAACGAGCCTCCCAGCGAGGTGCCTGCGAAGTCGTCACGAAAATCGGACGGTGCATAGTGTGCCTAAGCCAACCTAAGAATTCAGCCACATCGTGCTGAGCCCCCTTGGCATGTGAAGCGAACCAGCCATCAAGCAAGGTTCCCAAACTGCTTGGATCGGAGAGCCCCAGTGAGTTGGGTCCCCGGTCCAGCAGCCGAATGAGGGGCTCCTTCCAAGTGCCAAGCATATCCCAAGAAAAGGTGTTGTCCATACAACAGGCCCAAAGTTCACCGATCAAAGCGGTGTTCATGAAGCAATCGTTGGCCTCATTGCCAAGGCTCATCTCTAACAGCAAAGTCCTCATCTTTTGAGGGTCCGGGCCACCGCTTGTGCCAAGGGTGATCGTTGCAATGTCGAGGGTCGTAGCCGCACTGCAATCAACTGTGTGAGACCATTGCCTGTGAGCTTGGTCAGGAGGTCGAACAATTCCTGGCTGGCCGAACTCCTGAGGGAGATGTCGAGTCTCCAAGGAATCACCACATTGGATGTGGGCCCCACCTGGTCCGAAGGCATCGGTTTCAATGCCGTGAACCGATGAATCAGTTCCGGCTGGTTCGCAAGCGTGTGGATGCGTTCGATCATCTTTGAGGCTTCCTCGGAGGAGATCGGATCTCGGGACGACGGCTTCAGTGTCTTGTCCTGATGGTCCCACTGAAGATAGTTCCATGCATTCGTGGTGGTCAAGATCTGTTTGGACCGAAGGGCCAGGATCAGTTCGTGGTCGTTTGACCCTAGTGGAAGCTGGGCAGCTCTGCTTGCAAGTTCTTCGAACACCGACTGAAACATCAACTGACGGAGCGGGCGATCTACCTTGCCTTGCTCTCGTTGGCCATGCCATGTCCTCGAGATCTGAAGCATCTGCGGAAGGATCGAACTCTTGCCGGCCTGGATGAACAAAAGGAAAGTACGATCGAGGTTCAACTGGTTCAGTTGGTCCTCTTGCCTCAAGGTCAGTCTGGCCAACATACCCAGCAGAGTGGAATCGTCGACCGAGCCCGAAGCCGATGAGTGCGATGACCTCCTCTGTCCGGATCGGAAACGCTGTTGACCGGATGAGGGTTCCTCCTCGTTGGGTCGTTGCCGTTTGAAGTGACTGGAACACACCTCCATCAGGTCTGAAAAAGATTGATCCTCTTCTTTCAAATGATCCATCCCGCAGACCCTGGTGGAGGCACCAATGATACCAGTCTTGGGCCAGGACATGTTCAAGTTCGAAGAGGCATGTTTGAAACAACTGGTGTTGAAGATACAAACTGTCATGCACTTGAACGTGTTCAGGCAGGATGGAATGGCGCAAGGTCATCTGAGTTCCACGCCCAAAAGATGGGATGTACTCGGGTGCAAACATGAAGCAGGTTGAGAGGCACTGCATGCTCAATCTGAACCTGCGGGTGATCTGTGAAATGAGCCAACCAGGGTGTGACGTGAACATACCAGCTCAGTCTGTGTTCAGGCCCAAAAATGGGTGTGTGAACCACCGCAGAGTACGAACTGCTCAATGGATGCGCACAAAGATCATGAGTCATCTTGGGGTGCCAAGCTGGCGTGTCAAGTGGCACGTGCAATCCACAGGGGCTTGGCCCTTTGCATGGTGAGGCAACAATCAAGGCCCTGACTTGCTTGTCAATGACAGTCTCAGGTTTGTCATGCACAAGCACTGGCAGGTCAGACTCGGACATGGTCATGGTGGAAAGAGCGGTCCGGTCAACAGGTCCATAGTGCATGTCTTTGACCCATTCGATCAACAATGCTGGGCACGTGGCACGTTGGTAGTGCAGTCTCAGGGCAGCCTCAGTCGTGAAGCAGCTCAGGCAATGAGCACATCCGAGTCGACCATGCATCATGTCCCTACTAGGTCGAAAGCTAAAGAACTCCGGCTTATCAACTTGATGGGCATTCCTCAAATGTCCAGCTAAGCCCTTCCTGCCAATGTGGGTTTGGCATAGGGGACAAAGGAACATCTTAGGTGGTTGAGGGACTTCAGCTGGTGCTTGAGTCAACATGGCTTGGACTGTGTCGACACGAGGCTTCTTGGAGGTCCGGGCAGGCCCGGATGCAGTAGTCCCTGTGTCATGGTCATGTGACAACATGTGCTTTTCCAGGCCTGTCGATGTCAGGAAGCTACTATGGCATCGTTGACAAACAAAAATGGTTGGTTGCAGTGAGGGCAATGCTTCATCCATGGGTGCATCACAGACTGACGGCGGTGCACACGAAGCTGAGGGAGCAGGAGAATCATGAAGGTCACCTGACAAATGTGGCGATGGAGCTGCAGGGATCGATCTGGACTGCGCTGAGGCAGGCTTGGGGTCACTTCTGGAGGCCTTCATCATTACAGGCATGACCGGAAAGTGTTCAGGTTGGAAGGTGTAACCCAACATCGCTGACAGTTGAAACAGGACCCCACATTCATGACTGCGGACATTGCGGCACTCCTTATCACAAAAGCTACAGCGGCCACGACCACTGCCAATATTGGCGAGACCAACGACATGTGCAGCATATTGGGCAGCATGTGCAACATCTACGGATGCTGATCTGTGTAGTGCTTATGGATGGATCGGGCAGCTATCTGGCAATGACAAAAAGCGCAATGGCAAGACAATTCCTTAATGAGGGCTTGATTCAACAACAATCCCGGGATCGACTTGTGACGTAGGTGCATCTTCAGATCAGGTCGCGCCACAATCGGAATGATCATCTCCTGAGCCGGGTTGAATGAGGTGCAGACCCTTCGATTAATGTGATCCCTCAATCTATAAAAATCCACAAATGAATGAGAGCAGTGTGAACAGATTGGACGACCGTTCCAGGCGTCTCGCAAGGGATTATATAGATCATCCGGTTCATAAGGGATGGTGTGTGCTTGTCTCATGTGGCGTTTAAGGGCTCCCACCTGCTTGAATGCTCGATGGCACTCCGGGCACTGAAGTTCCTGAGTGAGCTGAGGATCCGGTGTGTCGACCGGCATGGTAAGGTCGCTCGGCCATACATCTAGGGTGCAGGCACATATGTCAGGTGAGTCTTCAGTCATGGCTTCCATTCGAAGTTTGATAGCACGGCTATGCAAGGCTTGTTTGATCCTATGTTGTTGTTGTTAAAGCTGGGTCCAAGGCGGATTAAGATGAAGTCGGTCGAAGAAACTTTGCGTCGATTCGTGTGTCAGACAAACAGGGGACTTAATCATAATCCTATAATGTGTATTGATCATACTTACAAGTTTGGCCAGACCTCGACGAGTGATCCCCATTTCATGGATGCCATAGCTGACAGTGGCCATAACACATTGACGATACAGCTTTAATCGGATCGCAAGTGGGGAACCAATCGCAAGTGGGGAACCGTGCTGGTAAGCCAAGACCTAATTTAGGTGCAGCACCACTTAGCAGCTACAATCCGTCTCATGGTTAAATCAAAATCGAATGCACGATAACTCAGAAACACTCCAAGATAGGCTGTTTTAGACACGAGGGGCAAGCGCCAGAGTTTCTCCGGCAAGATCAGCTCTGGGCCATCCGGTTTTCGATGTACCCAACGACGTAGGAAGCTAGGAGCTTCGCGACCAACCAATCGAATTATAGCAAAGCTCTTTTGCATGTTAATCTTAAGACCAAATGCATTAAATGTATCCAATACATGTTGAAGCTCAGTTAAGGCCTCAAGTGCATGGGGTGTGGATTCAATGATCCAACGGAAGTAAACATCGTCTGCATAAACAACTATGTGGTCGCGGAGCCATGCAAGCGAGTACCTAACCTTAAGGTCTAGGAAGATAGCGCTCATTACAAGGATCCAAAGCAATGGGGCGTCTTTAAATCCCTGTTTAATGCCCCTGCAGGCAGTGACATGTCCAATCAATTACTTAAAAAGAATGCAATACTTATGGGGGGCCAACCATAAATGGATCAATCGCAGAACATCTACATCGAACTAGCATTAATCGAGCGCTTAAAGGACCAAGGATCTGGCTACCGTATCGAAGGCCTTTTCCATATCTAAGAAGATCTGTAACCCTCCCTGCATACCCGGTGCATTAGGACTCGAACGAAAGTGGCTACATGTGTTGCGAACTTGTCTACAATGAGAAGCCACAATAAGCAAGCAATCACGAGTCCCCCGAGAAGGTAAAAAGGCGTACAACGGCAATTATCTCAAAATAGGAAAAGCCTAAGACAAGATAAGACGACATTGTAGACCAGCGAAAACCTTGCTAACAAGGTGTTAGAGACATATTATAAGTATTAATTATTAAAATAATCCATTAAAAAAAAAAAAAATAATAAATCATTCTCATATAATTTTCTTTCATTTAATTATAATATTACTAAAATATAATTTAATTTTTCCAACCGAATAATCCATATCAATATAATTTATCGAATATCTATTTCCTATTATTAATTAATTCCTCAAAATTCCAAACATAAAATATATAATTTCCTATTCTAACAATAATTCCGTTATCAATTATTACCGTTCAATTTTCATACTAATAACTTTATACCCTTCGTTTAATCTTACTTTATAATACAATTTGCTCGAATATATTTATTTCAGAAAATAAAAAAATGTTAATTCGATTTTCCAATACAAATTTTATTTATTCGTCAAAAAACAAAGAAATAAATAATATATAAAATATATTATATATATATATATTAAATTTCAATAACACAATCTTTATTAAATCTATAATAAAAAACATATAAATTAATATATCAAAATTATGTATAATATTTAATCAATCTATATATTTATTATAATCATTATCGATGATATTTTAAAATATATTATAGTTCCAATAAATCGATCCGAATTTATCAAAGAATTATGCATTCATATATAACAATATTATCAAATTATATATATATATAAATGTCTAGTATTGGCTTGTAATGCAAGCAAAACGCATAGGAGAGTCTGCCGTTCACTGTGAGGTGCACGATCATGTTGTACATAGACCTAAGTGAGGAAAATATGTGTCCTTTGCTTTTGCTATTTTCCAGTTGAGTTGAGGAGCTGGGAGGAGTTGTTCTCCATGCATCGTGCTGTGGCCAATCATCCGCATTGCATGCCCAGCATCGTCAGATTGCTCATGATCAAACCTTGCAGGAAGCCGGTGCCATTGTCAGCTGTTTGAGCTGGTCCAATTTCGGTGTCGCTGTTGAGAACATGGCCGAAATGATGACCATGCAGCAAGTGTCTTGCTCATTGGATCTCTCCTCAGAGTTGCTTTTGGGCGCTGTGCTACAAATTCAAAGACGGCGCTGCGCGCGAATCTTATCACGGCAATTGCACCTAAAGATTGCGTTGCTCCCTTGTAAGCTGTGCCGGGCAAAGCATCTTCCTGTCACTGCACAGGGGAACGATGCAAGAATCCAAACAAACTACAAGGAAACCAGCGACAAGCGCTACATTGTTCTGGATTCTCGCATGGCAGCCGATGCTTGGTTAGAAACCAGCCACACATCTTTCTTCAAGCGCCCTCATCTTGCCACACAAGCAAGTATGCAAGCACTCACTTCCCACGAGCCTGAAGGTTCTCACATTTCTGGAGAGTCATCTACGAAGTAGACCATTCCAATCCTTTTTGTACCTTTCCTTCTAGTCTACAAATTTCTTGTAATGCAATTGAGCTGCAGCACGTTCTTGTGCTAAGGCTGACTGTCCTGCCACTTCATCCAAAGCGCCGGTGAAACTTTTCCACGGGAGAGACTCCAAAAGGCTCCAAAAAGTAGAAAACCGTCTAAGAAGAACATAAAGATCGACGGCATGATGACTGACCGGGAACTCCTGGTGATGCCATCGAAGAAGGCTGTGTTTGTTTCGCATTTGCTGCGTGGGCTGCCTGTCATGGAGCCGTGTGAGCCCCGATTCTCCAAGAAGCGCACAGCATGGCCTGCAGGAAATGGATCACCGTCGCTTCAGATGGAGTCCTGAAGGGACTGAGAGCCAGTTCTGTCCTTGACTGGCAGCCAGGCCATAGGGAAGAAATCGTTGGCAAGTTGCTATTCTTTACATTTATCCTCCCAAAGGTTGGAACAACATGTTGATCACTTCTTTAGGTGTTGCGGATGCAACTTTTGCTGCACTTTTGGTCATACTGGATCAGCTAGACAAAGAAATTTCTTGCTTCTAAACTGTTCATGGCTTTTGCTTTGTCGGTGTGGGAATGCCCGCAAAAGTGGTGTTTGTATTGTTTTCAACCTCTCGCATTTCTCCGATTTGTAGAACAGCAACTCTTGCCAGCAGACAAGGTCTAAGGTAAATCATGTTCATAGAGCGAAACATCGAATCCACCAGGATGCGACAGGTCCTCTGATCTTCAGGCGTACTTTGCAAGTCTGGTAGCCTTACAACTTTGGAAGCCGTGATCGCGTTGTCACGCGTTGTCACATCTCAGCCTTCCTCATCTTCCCCATCCCTTGACCCAGTCACATGGGCAGCAGGATGGCCGTAAAGGATCGGATGAGGCTATGCGCCTGGGCCTGAAATCATGTCCGATAGACTTTGGTCCATACACCCCCCATGTGGGCATGTGCACAAAGAGATCGGCCTTGTTGAGCCGATTGGCCTTGGGCTTCTTCTTCTCTCGGATGTTTTTGACTTGACTTTGCACCTACGCAGCCAGATGCGCGGCGCGCGGCCGTCCGGTGTCCGATTCGAAGCGATTCGAGCTGCACCTCTTCAATGCGCTTTCGGAGCTCATCGCACGAGTTGAAGGTTGCCTGCAGAAAAAAGGGCCAATTTTGGCACACAACGATGAAACTGCACTGCACATTCGCCTCAACTTCCAGTTCTGCAGAACTGACTCGCAGCTTCTTTTTGAGATCCTGAAGCAATCTGGCTTTCTTGATCTCCCTAAACAACGCTTTTAGTACATATTGTCATACTCTTCATTGATTTACTGTAAGTTCAATCAATGGGTTTGTCAATTTCCAAGGTCACGGTGGGCCCCATGGCATAAGAGCCCTGCATAGTTTGGCCAGAAACCAGTGGACCGTTCACAAACTTGAACCCCTTCACAAGGCTTTGAGTCAACGTCGCATTTCTGGCCACATCCCAAAACACACGAACGTCGTGGTTGACGTTGGTGCCCAAGTTTCTGTTCAGCATGCAATGAACTTTGGCAAACATTTAAAACAACAACAAATGACACGATACCAAGGCTCTTGATGGATCTTCGCCTCCTGTGCACGCGGCACGTTTCGATGCTTGTCGTCATAGAAAAGCTAACATCTAGCAAGCGTCTGTGTAACTATCTAACATGCTGAATGACTCAATGAACGAAGCAACGAATGAATGAAGGAAGGAAGGCAGGAAGGAAGGAATGTCTCAAAATCAGGTGAGATTCTGCCATCTGTGGTGCAGGGTCGTTTGACTTCAGAATGATCGGGTTGAAGAACGGTATTGGGACAATTCGGTGTCCCTCCTTTTGGGGAAAGTCCCATCTCGTTTCAGTCTCCTCTTCGGCTCGAAGCTGCATCGCTGCAGCTTCTCCCAGGTCCCCCTGCAGGGAACTGATCATATCCCAGACCTGCAAATGGCTATGACGCTATGCCCAAAACATGTCCCGCCCAAAACGGTTCGAGCCAACAATCTGAAGTGCCTGACATGCCTGACAAACAAAGAAGATCAAAGCTGCTATCCGCTGCTCACCTCTTATGATGTGGATTCGGGCTAGTTGAGTTCAGGCGTGATTGGAACAAGTGGTCCAAAATTTGAAGGCCCACTCGTTTGTAGTGACATTCTTGTTTGAGTCGGGTCATGGAAATCCGCTGCTCACCTCGGAGAGCATCACTTCTGCTCCAGGACTTCCCAGCTGCTCGGAGTGTTCATCCGCATCGTACAGGGCCGATTTCACCTCAAACAGCTCTGTCGGGCGGCACCAACAGTGCGTTCTGATTCAAACGGTACGTCTTCACTCCAGGTCTGAACACTTCAGCTCTGAAAATGTCTCCTCTCTTCACCTCTTTTTTCACTCTGTCTAGGATCCCGTACCTTGGAAAGAGTCTTCAGAGATTTCAACAGAAGCCTCCGGTAGTCCTGGACAGATGCCTCCACTTCTGCCTTTTGCCTCGCTAGTCCCTGATGCCGCTGCCAGGTGCGTGCACCACCAGCTGTACCCGCGCCACTCGCTCCACTTGCTCCGCTCTTCGGAGTGGGCTTCGCTCGAGGCTCTGAAACGCTCGGAGGGCTCAGACCGCTCGGGTAACTACTTTGGCTGGGGGAGGGTGCCCTCAAGTACTCCTCCGCACGGCGTCTGGGGCTCTTGAACTCGGAACTCGTTGTTCTGAACCTGATAAGCGTCTTGGAAAGAGCCATGAAGCAAGAGAGTCAACACTCAATCTCAAAAGATGCACAGTGTGAAACAGTAAGCATTGCAAGAGAGTGTGAAACAGCAAACCATGTGTGGCCCTGTTCCATCTTGATGTGTGAAAAAGCGGCACTTACGTCCATGGCCTTGGACGCTTCAACTTCAGGGCAGCGGTGTCCACGGCAGCCTGCGCTGCAGACCGTGCATCAGCAGCCCTCAGTGCACGCTCAGAGGCTGCAATGTGGGCTGACTGACCTCGATGCAGTGGAGCGGGCGAGCGCGCGCAACTGCGACAGTCTACCAGCAGTACCCGAACCACAATTTTTGTGTTTTCCACAAGCCTAAGGATTCTTGTTTGAGTATTCATCAAAAAATTGCCCTAGTTATGGCAGGTTCTACTGTGTTTGCTTTGACAAGGGGTTATGGCTCTCTCCTATACACGCGCACGAATTACTCGATCTTCTCTGCATGAGGATAGCAGGCATCATCTGTGAGGAGCCTGGCCTTGTATTTAATGCCCTGGAGCCAAATCAATCCCTGGAAGATTTGGCTCCTTATCTTAACCATGTTAATAGCAGTACTCTGGAAGCCTGGCCTTGTTATTTTCGCGCTTCTTACTTATGTTACTTCCCCAGCCAGGCCGTCACATTTGGGAACCGTCCAACCTCCCAAACACCCATGGTAGCGACCATGGTAACGGCAATTCAACGCAGCAAAAGTTGATTGAAACTGAAGCGGAGCTACGCGGTCTAGAATAGTCATCGGCATCTTGGCTGATGGTGCCTCAAAGGAGATCAAGTTACATCGAATGCGATTCTATGCCTCAAATGATCTCAAATGACCAGCTCTTGAAATCCTATTGTCAAAACTCGCAAACGAGCACTCTCAGCCTGAAGAACTGCTACACAGTGTGACATCCATCCGTTCCTTGGAGCATCAACATATCGGGAAATACATCTGACTCAAGCAAATTTCAACACGACTTTCAAAGCGAATGAATTTAAAACAAAAGAAAGAGCAAGAGTTGACCGCTGCCACCACAGCCTGCACAGAAATCGACGAACAGGGCTGCCAGGAAAGACATCAGTGTTGCCAGGGCTCTGTGATGTCATCGACACTGGCAGCAACACCCGACAGCCTTTCATCGGTGGGCACCCGGCGGACGCTGTCTGCTTGCATCCGATGCGCATCGGAGGGCCGTGGGACGCTGTCGGGCATTCCGACCGCGTGGTGCATTCCAAAGCCTCCGCTTGGCGCAGAATCTGGATCTGGTGGATCGGTCTCCTTGGTGGCTCTTCCACTCAAAGAATCGCCCTCATCTTGCATATACAACCCACTGGTAGAGGCAAGCTCTACCGGCTCTTCAGCATCCAGTCCCATGGCAGTCTCTGCCATTGCTGATGTGCTTGTCGTCTTGAATCTAAGGTTTCGACTTGTAGAAGAAGTAAGGGAAAGTTGATGACACAGTTGGTTGAGTCGTGTCCGGAGGACCGTTGAACAAATCACTTGCAGGATAAGACTGCCCGTGACCGCTGAGCGTCTTCAAAGTGCCTATTTCTTGCTGCACCAATTTAGCACGTGCCCCAGATTGTGCATGAATGAAAGAATCTTAAATTGCAGTGAACAATTTGGAGCATGGACAATCTTTAAACTAGGCATTCCATGATGACTTTGACAGCCAGCTGGGCTTCACAATGGCACGCAGAATATCTGAGCATGATCGAAACCAACAGAATCTATCAGCTGCACATCGATACATCAAGAATGCACTCATCCTACAAATCAACGCAGCACAACGGCCTCTGTCAACCCAAGTGCGATCCGCCTGCGAAGCAACGGACCGTCCCGGAGACCCGCACCGTGACCCGCGACCCGCAACCGTCGCAACGACCGCCTGGCCTCGCTGACGTTGCTGATGAGTTGCAAGGTCTCTTGAGTCAAAGATCCTGGAACCAATCGGAAGAAACATCTGGTGAAAACCCATACTAAAAAATACTACTGTATCTGAATGCATCTACAGTAAATCATTCTGAATACATCTAAATCAATCTTCCTACATCTTCCTACCAGCTTTGGATTTTAGAGAATAGCCGAGTCCCACCTTCAAGACCAAAGAAATTTGCCAGGACATTGTCCATGAGCCTAGCATTTGGCACTGGTGCCAATCACAACCAGGCAGCACATGCAAAGCATACAGTATGCGAAGCATGTGGCTTTGCATCGCAACATCTGCACGCCTTGTTGCTGCGGGATTCGTCCTGGTCTTCTGCGCGCACAAGAGCCGCAACCTGCGAAGGAAAGAGTCCAGAGATGCCATGCAACAGGCATCGCGTCGCTAGCTGTAACAAGGGCATCGCTACTAGTAACGAGGGCATTACTACTAGTAGCAAATAGCAACTAGTAGCGTCCTTGCTACTAGTAGAAATGCCCTTTGTTACTAGTAGTTTCTTGTTCCAAGTAGAAATGCCAGGAGCTACTAGTCAAAGGAAGTTTAGGGTGCAAAACTTCCGTGTTACGGACTTTCAAAAGCTACTACTACCACCACCACCACCACTACTACTACTCCTCCTGCTACTACTACCACTACTACTACTACTACCACTACCACTACCACTACCACTACCACTACTACTACTACTACTACTACTAGTAGTTACTGCTACTGCTACTGCTACTGCTGCTGCTGTTACTGCTGCTACTACTACTACTACTACTACTTAGTAGTACTTAAGTAGTAGTAGTAGTAGTAGTAGTAGTAGTAGTAG